GCGCAAACCCAGGACCTCTCAGCCCAAAGCTGTGAACTCTTGAGAGAACTTGGAGTTGGCCTCGCTCCTCTGCCTCATAAAATTCAACATGATAACTGGACTTTAGGAAATATGTAAGTTAGGTTTAATAACAAAAAGAATTTTTTGTATATCACCTTTTGTGCCATTCTAAATATTTTTTGGTTTCTTCTGCCCTTATTTCTTCTTTGTCATTTTTGGAGGGGAAGGTGTTTTTTCCCTTGACCTTTCCCAGTTATATAGACTGTTTCTGATTGGTTCTTCCTACCAGGAATCAGGAGCAACTGTTGCCAGGTTTCCCAAGGGTAAGCAACATTGCACTAGGTCTTCCATCTGCCTAAGGAGGCCTCACCAAACAAGCCCCTGCTGCTGAGGATGATTCAAGAGGAGTGGGTCAGAAATAGACCCGTCACTTTTTTAGTAAAAGTAGAAGCCATGAATGCTTGCCAGGTTCCCTCTAAACAACAGTTTGACCAGGAGAGGCAGTGAGGGGATTGTATATTGTAGTGGATTAGCCAGAAAAGAGAAATATTAATTGGTGAAAAAGAGAACACTAGGAAACATTGGAGCATCTGCCTGTGTCCTAGAATGTGTCTGAGATTTGACACTTAAATCAGAGTTTCAGTTTCCTGCTTGGCATCCTAACTTAACCTGCAGTTTCTTCAAAATGTCCAAAACCTTGTTTCCTGTAACCTTAGGCCACATCTTAGGCTGCAAACTACTCTAAGGAAGTCTATAGGAAAATAGCATTTAATTAAAGTTTTTTAAAAGTTATAAAAAACATATTTCTTTATTTCAGTGTTTGGAGTTTTTGTTGTTATTGTTCGCCCCCTTACCTGAATCCTGTTCTCATTCTGAACCAAATTTATAGCAATATAATTAGCATTAATCTAAGATGTTATCCATCAAAAATTGCTGCAGTCTTTATAGATGAATAAATAAAAATAACTGTATAAATATTCCCACATTTGTTTCACAGCAGCAAGTGACTTCATTTCATTATCTGTTATTCTCCGGGCCTCATGAGGTAGAAGTCTGTTGGACAGCCTGTTCTGTGCTTAAATGAGGGTGTCTGATTCCCGAGTCATTTGTCCGCTGCTGCTTAGCTTCAGGACCAGATTAAAATGTGAAAGCTAGCATGAGCAAATGCAGCTGTTCATTGTGGGAAAGGATTTGTAGGGTAGAGAATGGTGACTTTGTAAAGGAGAACCTACCAGTTTAGAAAAACCACAGCTGCTAACCATTCCCTCAGGCAACCAAAAGTTAGATTGGCACTCCTCTCCCCCATCTCTTGACAGAAGTAGTGAATGTAACAGTATAATTGAGCTCCTGCTTGTAGCAGGTGGCACTGGTGCCAGACCCCTCCACCCCACTCCGCCCCCATCTTCTGTGGTTTAATAACAGAGCTTTCCTTCTCCAGCATGTGTTCTACCCAGTCCAGACTGTAAGTGGCAGTGGTGCAGAACTTAGCTGCTGCTGCAGGGCTTCCCCTGGCTCTTTGGCTTAAGCTGAGCTGCCAGGGCTCTGGTTGATTAGAGAGAGAGAGAGAGAAAAGACACTGTCTTTTGGTAAAGAAACCAGTACTCAAGGAATATTGGGAAAGCCATTTTCTAAGGAGCCATTTGTCTGATTTT